TCTGTCTCATGATGCACTGTTCATAAACAGTGCATCATGGGACATTGAGCCGATACCTCACCTGTCTCATGTAGGGTCTCATGTTTTTGGGTCCCTAAGATATTTTTCATAAGAGAAATAATAATTACATGTAACTAATTCCAAGATAAATTATCTTACAAATGAGGTAGCTATTAATAACGGTGTCATATTACATTTTCAAGAAAGATTCATTTAAATATATAATATATTGTGGCAGTTGTTTTATTAGGAGATCCGTGGCATTAAGGTGGATGTTACAAAACAGGATGGTGGTAGTAGTACAACACAATTTTCGATCTTAAATCCTATCAGTAACATACTCAGATATCTTCTAAAAAGAATGACGAAAATATGAAGAACTCCCTGATTCATTTTTTGGGTTGGCGCAATATTTAAACCACCAAAACTTACATTTTATCATTCAAAACATTGACCTAAGTACGTATATATCAAGGTGACGATATTAGAGTACTCCCCAACGATCGATGATCTATTTTTGTCTGCATTTGTGCATTTAATTTGGCGTGAAGATTGTTGATTCTCTTATTTTCCTCGTCCGACAAATTAGTTGATGTACTAGGTGAGAAATCGGTACAAGTGACGTCGCATTTTAGAAATGTTTTATGCCAGTTTCACTCAAAACTTCTAATTCCGTGTAGAAACTCCTTTTTCAGGTGCTTTTTCAAAACGTACGAGAGCCTTTTTTTTTTTTTTTTTGTGAAGGTGGTTTTGGTTACGGCCCATGGGAGTCCAGAAAACCAGCAGCAAGTAACCCTCATTCAACTCTCACCCCCAGTCACCATACAGTCTCAGTTTGGCAAACTTTGAGTCAGGCATGATGATGCGGCAAATTTTAAGAAACCAATGCGGCTTAGTCTTAATCAAGTTACACTTAACTCAAGTTAGACTAAACTAGTTTCTATGTGAACTAGTTCTGAGCTGAACTTAGTTTGTTTAATTTTTAAACAAAATTGGTCTAAAACTAAATATTGTTTGATAAATACACTTCTACTCCTCTATGTTGGGAATATTAGCTGTTTAGACAATAATTAACACGAAATTATGTTTTGAATTGATAATTAATATCAGATAAAAACAGATTAATATTTTATCACAAAAATAAAATTAATTGCAACGAAAAATAAATAGGGTTAGAAATACGGACTGATGGTCGAGGCGTGTAAGGCTGCACTGTCCCAAGAATCTAATTATCCCATCTCGTACAGGGCTACACGACAAAAGTTCTCGGAGATACAACGACTCTCGGTCAGGCGACTTCCTTCTCGTCGGCACGAGCTTCAAGAAGGCTTTGCGAATTCTTCTCGACTTTTAGGGAACCAACAGAATGTAGTAGTAAGAAAACGAAGCGTAAGAACAGCGAAGATGTTGTGATTTGCACTGTTTTGAAACTGTGTTTTTAGCCTTCGCAGCTTTGAGTTTTTATAGAGGTTAAGGATGAACATTTTTAATTACCGATTTTAATTACCGATTTAATTCTCATAAAAAATCCGTTTTCGTTTTGATTCTGTTTAAATATTACCGTTTCAAATCAACTTACCGTTTTAATTATATTGAAAAGAAGATCCACATTACTCACGTTTTAATTGTTCTAATTTGTAAAAAATTAAAATATAGCGGATTAAGAGCCCCTTACTCCGGAGCTGCATTCGTGTCCGCAGGTCGTGGGCACGCGCCACCCGACCCGAGCCCGAGCCCGGCCCGGCCGGCGCGCGCGTGTGTGGTGTGGAGCATAACCTTTATTTTCTTCTAGGCATAAAAGAGAAGGAAAATGTTTATAAACACTCTCCCTTCCTATTCCATTTCCTATGTGGGACTAAACTTTCCCACTACAATATCAAGTTTTAAGTTACACTTATTATAACTCCAACAATCCCCCACATAACTTAAACTTAAAAATAAATAAGATTGCTGGTTCCCTTATACTATGTAATAGGTGGAGGTACCTTTCGGTTTGAACCTTCACTTAGTGACAGTTGTATAGATCCGTGAGAGCTTGGTGGACTACGCCTTGAACCAGTCCTATTTATCGAATTTCTACAGAAAGCACACATAGTACAGTTTTGAAGAATTCTAAATGGGTTGCGCTATTATCGGCATTGCGCATGTATCTTTCATGTGTGTTACTAGGGAGCAGCCCTGATCCCATAGTCGTGGCCTCATAACTACACACATATAGGTGAATCCTAATAAGGATGCGAGCAAGTAAGCATCCTGCCTCATGGGTCTTGAAGAATCCTAATAAGGATGCGAGCAAGTAAGCATCCTGCCTCATGGGTCTTGAATTCATTAAGAGTTTAACCCAACCTTTCACTTGCTTTTTATGAGCAAGCATCCTGCCTCATGGGTCTTGAATTCATTAAGAGTTTAACCCAACCTTTCACTTGCTTTTTATGAGCAATGATCATCATAGGGATGAGAGCAAATAAATTCAGTGCTCCTCACAATTAATCACTCATCTAGTTTGTTTCTACCCATTGAACCTCTGCGAGGTTGGGTTGCCACTGCAGTGATTTTTCTTATGGGCTTAATCCCATACCCCTCGATGATTCTAGGACCACTGCCCTAGATAAGCCTTTAGTTAAGTGATCTGCAAGATTTTTCTCTGATCTTACAAAATCTAAGGCTATTACATGGTTTTTCATCTTATATCTCAATGATTTATGTCGCACTTTCAAGTGTCGATTCATCTTCACATTTTCATTCTCTTGATAATATTTGTCAATCGCTGCCTGCAATCATAATGAATAGAAATAGCTGGTAATGGTTTTTGTATTAATAAAATTTCAGTAAATAAATCTTTCAACCATTCAGCTTCTATACTAGTAGTATCAAGAGCTATTATTTCTGATTCCATTGTACTTCTAGACATTACAGTTTGTTTAGTAGATTTCTAGGACACATCTCCTCCCCCTAAAAGGAACACAAAACCAGTGGTGGATTTTACATCTACTGAGTCACTAATCTAATTTGCATCTTAGTATCCTTCTAATACAGATAGATAACCTTTATAATGTAAACCATAGTTCATAGTTCCTTTTAGATACCTCAAAATTATTTCTAGAGCATCCTAATGACTCTTATCAGGATTTGATGTATATCTACTAAGTCTATTTACTACATAAGCAATGTCAGATCTGGTGTAGTTTGTCAGGAATCCTAATAATCCAATTATTTGTGCGTATTCTCTTTGTAATTAAGGATA